GTCGTGGTGTCCTGTCTCCCGTACGTGTTTCTGGGAGCCTGCCATTCTCTCTTCTTTTTCCTGAGTAGTGTAGTGGATATAGTGTAGATTGAGTAGTGGATGTAGAGTACGAGATAGTGTAGTGGATGTAGTGTCGATGATAGTGTAGTCACGGATATAGACTATGATCTGGTCCCTCAAAAATTAACCTAGGCAATATTACAGGTAAGTTAAAGGAATTTAAACCCTACAACAACAACAAATTAAATAACTTGCTAGAGCCCCACACTGATTCTCTACCGTGTCTCTTACATTAAAGGTTTCCAATACTGTTAATCTCTCATCTTTAAAATCCAGTTTGGACTTGACCATCCTTGTTTGTTCTGGCAGATGTTGAATTAAGATAATATTAATTTAGTGGACTAAGGCGAGGCGTTGTTTGAGATAGTGAGCGCTTGTGGCGGGTGGTGACCAGTAGCCAGGCTGTCGACTATGCCACATCACCAGTCACTTATCGTAAATATCGCTTCATTTATTTACAACTTACTCTTCCTACAGTACACGAACTCTTGCGAACGGCTACAACGATGACCTGGGTGGTGGCTGGCTACACAGTGTCACCAAAAATCCTTCACACTTAAGACGTGACTGGGCGTGATAACACCTCACAACCGGGTTCACTTCTTAACGAGCCCTCCGAACCCTCGAATCCAGAATCCTTTGAGTTCTAAAGATGTTTAATACTGAATGTTTCCTTACGCCAATATTACGTAAGTAGATTCTTAGTCTTTCTTTCTCATCTGGGATTTGAACACAAGGGGCGCCTCGCTAAATACTTGTGACAGCTACACTTGTCTCATCTCTCCCTGCGCTATTTATTTGTTTTAAAAAATGAATAAAAGATTCAAACATTTCAAGTACGTACTCGTAAGTAAAGTCACGTGTCCTTGCGTCTCACAACGTCTTGGAAGGTCTTCGTGAAGTACTTTATGTTCTAGTGTGCGTGTGTGTGTGCGTGTGTTTAATTTAAATGTAAATTCATGGTGAAAATGGGTCCCCATTGGTTTAACGATCCTGTGAGTTAGGGTCATTTTGGATAGAGGAAACGAAACACCCCAGATTATGATGTCCGGTACTACCTTCACCCGCCTCCCATTACCCAACAGTGTAGTAAGGGAGGCTAGCCACTACAGAAGGGTTGACCGAGGGACGCTTCGCTCAGTAACGTCGTCCTCAAAGGCTTAATATTATCAGCATCACCATAACTTCATCATAGGTCTCTGTAATATTAAGTGACTCATCAAATTTACTTTCAGGAGTTTAATTTGGTCATGAAAGAAGTGACAGATCACCTGACAGGTGACAGTGTCTTGTGTACACAGTTACTTGTGCTCTTGGCCATATAATGTAGTTCACTGGCCATCTGCGGCTGCCATTGCCATATTTCATCAAGGTTTATGTGATTGATTTGTCTACCTGTTGGCATTTAATGATAACTTGCCACTTTTTTTCTGTTTATAATCAACAAATTTATTGATCATTAATTTAAACTTGTCTGGCGGGGCAAGTCGTCACGCGCCCACTTGTGTTCCGTCACTTTTGCCCCGCCACAAGAGGCATGAGGTGAGGTACGCACCGCTCGCTGCGTCTGTCTGTGCGATAAGGGAACAAGAATGCAGGTGTCCTTGGGTCAGCGCGCTCCCGTCTCTGACCTCCGCCCACCAGGGGGATAAATCAGTGTCGTTTAGCGGAAGTGTATAGGGTCCAGAACACGTAGGGAGGCCGCTCTTGGCGAGGATTATATAGAAAGATGTTGTCGTGCAGTAACTTCCTGATCGTTGATGACACTGCTGCTCCCAGGCCCGCGCGGAAGTGTTTACGTTCACTACTTCAGGCTGCTCCTCGACTCATTATTATATTCACCAGGATGATTCATGTGCTCCACTTTTTTTATATAATTTACGAACCGCGACTAAATTACAGACTCCTAAACACTCCGTCATCACCCACTTAAGATAAAAACGCAGCAGACGCAGCAGAAGGAGAAGTAACTTGTTTATACGATATTTAAGTTCTGTAATCTTGGGTCCGGATTCACAAAGGTTCGTATAATCAAAATGAATACAAAAGAAGACACCTTAACATCTCATGAAGTGATGTCAAATGAACGTAAATCAGAAAAAATAAATACACTGTAACAGTTTGATTCTCTAAATTTGGATGTTATCTCTGTCTTTTAGCTTAAAACCAACTTTTGGGTACATTGTCGCTTGTTGATTTACGAGGAATAATTCATCGTAAGAACCTTCGTAAATCCGTGGCCAGATGTATGTGATAAAACAGGAGATTAATCGTCGGTTTGTTGTAGCGTAAACAGTGGCGGAGGCGGAGTAGTTGGCCCCTGCTGCGGTGTACAGCTCCCCGTCCCGTTCTGCCCCGTTCCGCCCCGCTCCGCCCAGCCCCGCCCCTTTACAGTAATGGACCCCAGGAAGTTAAGAAAAATGACATAGCTTAATAAATTTTATTATATTTGGGGCATCGAATTCTAGGGAGGGAAACGAACGGTAATAGGCTGCAGCTTCTTGATGAAGACGATGACTGAGTAGCTGACATTAGAGTAGACTATATGATGAACCAAGTGTTAAACATCGTCGTGGCATCATCTTGACCTCACACTAACCTTCTTAACCACGATAAACTGAAGTCATCATCATCAACAGGTCTAGCCGGACAATAGTAAATATAACACTAGTTCAAGTGACATTTATTAAAGGGTCGTGATCTCTTGTTCCTTATAGAGACGTACGCTACTAGGAACCACCCTCCCCCCTCCAACCCCACCCCCTGCACACCCCCAACACCGTCCACCACCCCTTCCACACACCCCAACACTGTCCACCACCCCCCACCCCCTGCACACCCCCAACACCGTCCACCATCCCCTCCACACCCCCAACACCGTCCACCCTCCCACTCGCCAACCCTCCTTCAGCGACCAGTAGCAGCAGCAGCCCACTCACTCCACTGTCAGGTTGGTGGTCTAGTCTCAGGGTACGAGCATGGTGTGAGGTGTGACTCTAGCGGTGGCCAGCTGACGATGGTGCGGCGCTGGCGGAAGTTATCCCACGGCGGACCAGGAAACATTGAGAGAGAGAGAGGTAGGTAGGTAGGTGAGGTAAGAGTTGCTTACACATCCTGCATACACCTCTTTTCTCTCTCACACACCTTACATATTGGTGTCACCCCGTAGGTATCATTTTCTCGACTATCTCGGGGCCTTGTAGTTCGCACTTTCTGAGCCATCTTTACCAGACGGTTTGGCACACAACGATTCTCCTTGTCGTTGAAATCCTCTATAAACTCTCTTGATTAAGTAGTTCAGTAGAATTGAGTAGCGCAGGGCGTCTTAATACGGTGCGTGTTTGTTTTTTGTTGTAGTTGTTGTTGTTGGGAGTTGAGGCTGCGTCCGAATCCCTTACGTTATCTTGCCGACTTCCGCTTAGCCAATCAGATGTAGACTCAAATCATCTCAATTTATATTCACAAAAATCTTATAAACCACATAAGGAGGAACCGCTATATTATTTTATTGATATTAATAAACTAAAATATAGTAAAATAAAAAAGTTATTTCCTTCTCACTCAAATGCTTCAGCTTGTTGACTAAGATAAATTAACTCCCATTATCTACAGTTATTAGGTCCGTCAAATAGGAAAACTATTCTTATTTAAAAGTTACAAACAATATTTCTTGTTCTGGATAATATAGCCATTAAATAGGAATAGCTTCTCCTATATGTTGGACCCAATTTCTGATAATAATGACAGCAAATTTCTTAGACATTTGTTATAATTTGTAGTGAGGTGATAACATGTAGAGCTTATCAGTGCTCTATTGTAACCTGTACGTGTTCTTAAGCCTGTACCTGTCCTTAAACCTGTACCTGTCCTTAAACCTGTACCTGTCCGTAAACCTGTACCTGTCCGTAAACCTGTACCTGTCCGTAAACCTGTACCTGTCCTTAAACCTGTACCTGTCCTTAAACCTGTACCTGTCCTTAAACCTGTACGTGTCCTTAAACCTGTACCTGTTCTTAAACCTGTTCGTGTCCTTAAACTGGCTCTTGCTTCATTTCCTTGTCTGACATTATATAACGTCTATCTTATCCAGACAGAGGCATTATCCAGACAGGTATTATCCAGGCCATGGCGTTATCCAGAAGTGGCATTATCCAGACTATGGAATTATCCAGACAGAGTCATTATTCAGGCTATAGTATTATCCAGACAGAGGCATTATCCAGAAGTGACATTATCCAGGTTATGTCATTATCCAGAAGAGGCATTATTTAGACAGAGGCATTATCCAGAAGTGACATTATCCAGAGAGGCTTTATCCAGATGGAAGCATTATCCAGGCTATGGCAATATCCAGACAGAGGCATTATCCAGAAGTGGCATTATCCAGGCTATGGCATTATCCAGACGAGGCATTTTCCAGAAGTGGCATTATCCAGACAGAGGCATTATCCAGATAGAGGCATTATCCAGACAGGCATTATCCAGACGACGAGTCTTGGTCCAGTGTCCTCTAAGCATTCGGTTAAGTGGCCACACACACACACACACACACACACACACACACACACACACACACACACACACACACACACACACACTATGAAACCTAATACCATGTTGTTTAAGATAAGCGACACACACATACACAGGGACGCCTCGTATAACTTTCTCCAGCGTGATTTTATAAATGGTGAACACGTTAAAATACCAAAGAGAGGAGCGGAGTAAGTTGACACCCTCCCTCTCTCTCTCTCTCTTTCATTCCTTCTCTCCGTCCTCCCTCCCTCTTTCCTTCCTTCCTTCCACCCCTCCTTCCTTCCCTGACTCTCCGCCAATAGTATGTGAAGGAAGTTGTCCACGCTTTTCCCTCTAGTCCAGCATGTTAGGTTAGGTTAGGTTAGGTTAGGTTAGGTTAGGTTAGGTTAGAGAGGAACACTCACCTTGACCGTCCAGCTACACACTTGCTGAGAGCCATTGGTGACGCCGGGGAGTGTATGGCCAGGGGAGACCAGGTAGACTTCTTGTTGTGGCTCCACCTTCACCACCTCCTTCCCACACCCTGAAATAGACATAAGGAAAGTGTGGTCAATTTATTTCTCTCTCTCTTTCTCTCACATATATATATATAACATTGATTTTGATAATAATTTATACATTATTAGTGACATCGAAGGGGGAAGCACTCGTGATTAGTCTTCGTTGTGTGTGTGTGTGTGTGTGTGTGTGTGTGTGTGTGTACCTGTAAACATGTGACAGAAGTGAATTTCCTTATAATATTAATTCCTAACTACACCACGGACTCAAACTCCTACACCACGGACTCAAACTCCTACACCACGGACTCAAACTCCTACACCACGGACTCAAACTCCTACACCACGGACTCAAACTCCTACACCACGGACTCAAACTCCTACACAACGGACCAAACTCCCACGGATTCAAATACCCACGGACTCAAAGCCAAAAATAACAATATAATCCCTCGCGTCGTGTTAGACCATCCCAACATGGCCCCGGTCATCATGGCCAGCTTGATCTCACTAATTATTACCTCATTTACATACAGACGCAACTGGATATTCTCTCTCTCTCTCTCTCTCTCTCTCTCTCTCTCTCTCTCTCTCTCTCTCTCTCCTTCAGTCCCTCACCCTCCTCAGTCTGACTCTCCCTCTTCTTCCTCCTCTTCATCATCATCATCACCATCATTCTTCCTATTCCCTGTTGATGCGGAGTTTTTTTTACTTTATCTCCAGGATGGGTGTGTGGGAGGTAGTGAGAGAAGGAGGAAGGGAGGAGGAAGAGAGAAGAAAGAGAGGAGGAAGAGGAGTCCGTTGGGAGGGAGAGAGACGGACGAGGACAATCTGATGTCTTTGCTTGTTAGACGGACCCCCCCCCCCCTGTTGAGGCTAGTCATGCTCCTCGTGGGGACAGACAACTCTCATCTGGGTGTGTTTAATACTAACTCAATGTATTAATAGTATTTGTAACTCCCATGTTGTTATTATTATTATTATTATCATTGTTCATTATTATCATTATTATTATTATCGTTTGTTCAGTATTGTCTCTCTAAATCTATCATGTTTCATCACTCAACAATACTGCCACGTGTTATGTTTTTCCTCTCTATGCTGTTCCTGATTTTACTCCTTTCACCTGACCCCGAGCTTATATCCCTTTTATGTTCTGGGGTTTGTTTCATTATAAGAGGAAGGAAAACATCCAGGGTTCTGTCATCCACACACAATCAAACCCTAATAGGATAACTTGCTCCCTTACCAGTTGTTTTTCACTAGGATCCTCTCTCTAGATGCCCTTCACCAGGTGGGTTAGTGAGAGGCACTTCACCAAGTAGGTAATGAGGGGCACTTCACCAGGTGGGCAGTGAGGGGGGCACTTCATCATGGTTCACTCTCTAGCAGGACACGAGTGCCACTTTAATAGGTCAAGATGGTACAGGTGGCGGTGAGGTGGGTGAGTGTCAGTATGTGTGTGGCTAATATGTTGTCTTCCTGATGATACGAGTCAAGGTTTACTGTGCATAACATGGGGCGGCTGTAGTAGTGATAATAATAATAATAATAAAAACGATACTCCTCCCTTCCAGCTCTTCTCACTGCCCTCCTCCCTTCCCACTCTTCTCCTCCTCCTCTGTTCCACCTTTGCACCCTCCCTTTCTGCTAGCTCTCCTCCCTTCTCCCAATCCTCCTCCTTCATCCCCTCCTCCCTTCCACCCCTCTTCCCAGCCCTCCTCCCTCCATCACCCTCCTTCACACACATTGGTTATGTTAATAATCCTCTACATTGGTTCAATTTTCATGTTTCATCGACAAAACAAATCTTAGCAATTTTTACATTTTTTTTTTATACATTTACATACCTGCTAAGACAAACGGATCACGCCAAGGCTACAGAAACGCTTTAATATTCTGTAAGGCATTAGAAAGTGTTACGAACCACGCCATCTATTGTCATGATCTACCTACCCAGCACTACGAGCAACGCCACCTAGGGACGAAACACGAGTATGACTCGTCTTAGTTACCACTCCGGGGTTTCCCTTCTCCATATCCTGGTTGTTGGTCACCTCCTCAAAGTCTTCATTGTCAGCTCCAGTTCGAGGAGAGAGCAGTGCACTCTGGGAAGTGACCACAGAATCACCTATCCTGGGAACCTACGGCACTGTGACTACCTACCGTCTTCTACAATACTCAGCCTTACTCGTCAGCCGTCTCAGCTCCGCACTTAAGTATATATAATCTTATATTGCCTCCCCACGTCCACATGCTTTAGAATGTTGTATGTTGTATAAATATGTATATACTGTTAATGTTTAGGTTAAGTTTGGTTAAGGGTAAATTATAGAAAGCTGAATATTTTGTTAAGGAATTTATGGTACTTTATTATACACAACAACAACTCGCATCCTTTGTCTACCCTTTTATAGTCCGATTGTCTTTGTTTTTGTTGTTGTTGCCTGTTGGGATCTGGGTAGACTTTTAACTATATTCTAAATCCCCAACTCGTAACAAAAGTTACGGAGTAAACTAGTGGAAGTAACTCAGTCTTATCCTCTTGTTTGGTTACTTGTAGAGTGTGTGTGTGTGTGTGTGTGTGTGTGTGTGTGTGTACCTCTACAAGGCTGATCAAGAATGGGTGTCTGATTATGGGGGTTAAGATATATTTAAAACTTTCACACACACACACACACACACACACACACACACACACACACACACACACACACACACACACACACACACACACTCACACACACATACACACACTCACCCACAAAAAACAACAATACCAACAACACGTTATTAACATCGTCAACCAGCAAGTATAAGACAGCACTTCATTGGTCACCGCTCTACCGGTTGTATAAGAAATTGCTCTGTGATTTCTTGTTTTAATTTTTCTTGGAAGTCTGGTAATCTTAGCATCCTCCAGGGTAGACCGCAAGGTTGCATGCCAGAATTGGTTGAGATTGGCCATGGGATCTAGGAGTGGAGGAGGAAGATATTACAGAAAAAACCTGAACGTGCAGTAATAGCGGTGAAGTACAATATCTGTGACAGTGATCGGTAACTCTTATGTGTTGATTGTGGGGTTTAGTCTTCACCCCATATATGTGTAATGTGTTAGGTTAGGTTAAGTGATTTCTTGATGTTTTAACCCTGTATAAAGAGAAGAACACCGAGAAACATATAAACTGATACCACACGTCCTTACCTCTCTACCACACGTCCTTACCTCTCTACCACACGTCCTTACCTCTCTACCACACGTCGTTACCTCTCTACCACAGGCTCTTACCTCTCTACCACAGGCCCTTACCTCTCTACCACACGCCCTTACCTCTCTACCACACGCCCTTACCTCTCTACCACACGCCCTTACCTCTCTACCACACGCCCTTACCTCTCTACCACACGTCCTTACCTCTCTACCACACGTCCTTACCTCTCTACCACACGTCATGTTACTGGGCTCTACCACACGTCCATTCCCCACCACACGTCGTTACCTCTCACCACACGTCACACTCCCACACATCCTTACCTCTCTCTACCACATCGTCGTTACCTCTCTACTACATATCGTCACACCTCTCTACCACACATCCCTACCTCTACCACACGTCCTTACCTCTCCCCACCACAGGTCCTTACCTCTACCACACGTCCTTACCCCCACCAGCCACATCAAGTTACCCCCCACCACACGGCCACATCTCCACCACACACACTCCCCAAATTCCACCTCCCCAAATCCCCAATCTCCCCACCCACACGTCCCCACCCCAACCACAGGTCTTGACTCCACCAGGTCCCCACCCCAACACACGTCCCCACCCCCACCACACGCCCCACCACAGGCCCCACTCCTCTCACAGGCTCCATTACCATCATTCATCCAAAATCCTCCACCTTTACCAGTCCACTCACTTTGTTACTCCCTCACCTTGTACTCCACCCATCTCCCCTCACCTCCCCACTCTAGCACCACCCTCCTGCCTCCTCCCCACCTACCTCCCTCACCCTCACCTTGTACCACCACCCATCTCTCCCCCTTCACTCTCTCCTTCACCCCCCACCCTCACCTCACCTTGTACTCACCACCCATCTTGCCCTCCCTTCACCTCTCACCTCCTCACCTCACCTTGTACCACCACCCATCTCTGCTCCCCCTTCACCTCCTCCTCCTTCACCCTCTCACCCTCACCTCCCCCCTGTCTTGTACCACCACCCATCTCTGCCCCTCTCACCTCTCCCACCTCACCCCACCTCACCTTGTACCACCACTCCATTCTGCCTCACCTCCTCCTTCAATTTCACTCTCACCTCACCTTTAGCCATCACCCATCTCTCTAATTCTGGTGATCAGTGTTGTGTTGTAGAGAATGGCTTTTGCCTACGGTAGGTGAGTGTTGTGTTGTGGTGATATGAAAGATCTGGGCTATATCAGGGTTGTGTCGTCGTAACAAGTGTTTCATGTGTATTAGATCGAGGTTGTATTGTGATGTGTAGTTTTAGCTGTGATGGATCAGGATTTTATTGAGGTAAAATGAATTTGGTTAATGTAGATCAGGGTTGTGTAGTAAAGTTCTCTAGCTCTTGCTAAATCCGTGTTATATTGTGAGGAAATGTTTGGGTAATGATATATCAGGGTTGTGTTGTGTATAGAACGATGTATAAGGAGAAAAAAGAGAAATAAAGTGGAGGAATATTAACGGAAGAAAAGAGGGAAGGTGATTGTTTTTTTTTTTGTTTTTTTTGTTTTTTTTAGCTACAATACAAACGTTGCAATTGGTCTCATTTTCCTCTCTCTCTCTTCCCACCCGTGGTCAGTCAGAGTCCACCCCTTTCCACTTCCATCCCCCTCCTCCATCTCTTCCATCCCCTCTCTCCATCCCTCCACCCCTTCCATCCCCTTCCTCCATCTCTTCCATCCCCTTCTTCCGTCTCTTCCATCCCCTTCTTCCATCTCTTCCATCCCCTTCCTCCATCTCTTCCACCCCCTTCCCTCCATCCCTTCCACCCCCTTCTCCATCCCTTCCATCTCTTTCCCTCCATCTCATCCACCTGTTCTCATCCTTCCACTCCCCACCCCTTCCAACCCCCCCTCGAGGGCTCCACAGGCTTCCTGCCGCTTGGTGGGGTTACACACCCACCATATCTGGTCCCCAGCCTGATTAAAACTGGAGTTGCACCCCAGTAATAGAGGACCCCCTCTCCATAAGGAACTGCCTCTGGTCACCATACTAATACACAACACACTGGTCGATTCCACACACACACAGTAGGAGGTGGGAGGGGGTGTGGGAGGAGGTGGGTGGTGTGGGGAGGGGGTGGTGTGGGGAGGGGGTTGTGTAGGGAGGGGGTGGTGTTGTGGATCGCCTTGTAAACGTCGTGAATGTATTCTGGTCTGCCCACTAACATTCTCTACCGGTATTATTGGGTGAACGTTGTGCCACCCAGGTGAGGCGACGTGTGGATGTCTTATTTAGCGAGGGACCCCACTGTCCTCCTCCTCCTCCTCCTCCTCCTCCTGACAACCTACAACGATCCACACAACATGGATACATTTAAGGTAAGACTATTCACACTACTTTATACATCATGGCGTGTTTATGCTTGTTGTGACTGAGGAGTTTATATTTAGTGGTACAAATGTTCACATATTTATCCTTTGTTTCTAAATGTCTTGTGTACATTATATTGGGGGTGTTGGTGGTGATGTACAGGTGTGTTTCAGGGTATGTGTACAGACAGGTATGTGGGTGTGAATATGCTTGAGTGTACAGTGTTATTCCGGGTAAAAAAGACCCTCACTCGGGTGTATCACAGTTGACTCTGTGTGTGCGGCCGTGAGCTTCATTTACCCCAAGATTCTCATGTATCTCTGGAAAGCTTGTTGTCCTTGGCGTCGCCCATCACCAACAACACTCTGCTAACAATTCAGTGATTTAATCTACGTTTATATTCCTCCTCTCCCTCCTCCTCTTCTTTCTCCTCGTCCTCTTCCTCTTCCTCCTCCTCGCCATCCTCCGCCTTGTACTGCCATGTTGCTCATTTTTCATCCTGTGGTCCTTCTCAGGTGCTACCAGTACGTGCGCTGTGTAAACACCATTCATCTTGAGCTCCGCGCCACGCACACACCTCCCGCCCGCCTATATGGTCTCCCATGCATACCATCTCATCAGCGGCCACTTTAGTTCTCAACGAAGGGCGTGTACACTGTCCATCGCCCTGGTGTCTGTACTGAATGGTCGGCCACCGCTGTTCTGAGGGGCCTTTTCATGGCAGGCCTCGGGGGGGAGGGAGGGGGGGGGGAGGCTTCAATTATGAATCTGTGTGGTCGTTAACAACTACCTGATGGGGTCGTCCCCTCTGCCCATAGCTTCCCTAAGAGGTCGTCCACTGCTAGTTTGTAAGGGTCGTCTACCACCTTCCCTGTAGGGCCCTCACCAGTACCCCGAGGCGTCATCACACACACACAAAGTCCGCCAGGTGTATGATAAACGATAGAACTTTACCATAACAAAAGAGCATCACCAGCAGCAGACAACAGCGTCAGACAATCCGGTTCGCTCCTGTCAGTGATGCGGTCATGGAAGTTACGCCAGACAAACATTCGCCCAAGAGTATCACGAACTGGCAACAGACTGTCTATCCTTTTCCATTCCCAGTCAGTCCCGCTCCTTTATCTCTGCTTAACTCTCTCTCTCTCTCTCTCTCTCTCTCTCTCTCTCTCTCCTAAACAGTAGTGGAGGAGGGGTTTTGAAGGGTTGGGTTCATACGGTAGAAAAACATCGTCCATCACTCCCACATCACCAACACTTCACATCACCAACGCCAGAAACACTTCACCAACACAAGAAGCACTTACCTTCTACCAACGCGCTCCTCAACATCGGTCTTTTTCCTCTCTGCAAAAAAAAACAAAAAACACAAAGTTAATAACTCCAACATTGAGGGAGAAATCTTACTACCATCTTCAATTTGTCTCTTAGGAATCATATTTAGAGGTGTCCAGTTTTGAGACGCAGCTCAAGGGGAGCCAACGAGGTCTTCTTAATTAGTAGTGAGGAACTCTGGAGGCCTTACAAATCCTACAGTTTTAGAGGGACACCTGACACTGTGGTGCACTTCCGGGTGGCCCACAAAGAGACCTCCTGAGATCAACTTTCTGTACTTGTCGACTTATACAGATGTAAAAATGTTGGATTCTAGTTATCAGAGAGACAGAATTATTATTAGGTAGACCTTTGATGGGGTTAAGGTGAGCAAAAAACCTTTCATTTATGAAGAATATATTTGGTCAAGGTTGTTGTTGTGGTTTAGCATGACATTATCGGTTCTTTTTAGTCATGCTCACACGTCCTATTAGAAAATACTTCCTGAGGCAAGAGAGATGAAGTCAAGAGGACACTTGAGCTTCACCGCCATCAACTCGGGTAGTGTTATCAGGTGAGACGGCCAGGTGACAAGAGGCCTTGAGCTAAACATCCGGTAGGGGCCTCACCTCTGGCCCAGCTGCCCCACTAGTCTTCTAAGGGACTTATAGAACACACTTCAGAAAACGCCGCCACTAGTTACTGTAGACCGTCCACACCAAGAGACAACTATCATTACTGGGGTCACTAATAACCCTCCTGGTGCCCTCCATAACACGTCAAGAGATCTACCCTAAACAAGCCGCAGCAACACCCCGGCTCAGTTTAACTTCAACACGACTTAATAGGTTTTAGGTCTAACATTTTACTGCCGCATCAATCCTCTCCAGGTTGTTACACACTGAAAGCCGACCACTGGGTAGTCCTGACAGAGAGTTGTTGTCTGACCAATAAGAAGTTTTATTTCTTCTTGTGGACACCAGATTGGCTGATGTGCCTCTATTCTCAAGAGGTCGGGCAATGATTAAGAGTTTGGCAAAGACTGGGATGTATGATTCCTGGCGCAGTACACTCTACCTACGCCTCTAACCACGTACAAAGATTGATGGAAAGAATTGCACGTTACACACTAATCTGCGTCATGGCGAAGGCGGTGCGTCTTGTTGTCGGGAGTGTGCTGGGCTACCTGGAACTAGTAAATAACATAGTCCTCAGGTACACCCTCATCCCAGGAACTCATTAGGCTAATTAGAGTGAAAGTCAATCAGACGACGATCAGAGCATTAGGGAGTTGTCCAGCTAGGGCGGTATCTCACGCTCTCTAGTCTGGGTAGAGGTGAACCTCATGGGCGGAGTCTCCCTGACCACGACCACGCCCACGACCCGTAGTGGGCGTCGGGTCAAACAGTGGGCTACTTGAGGAGTAATGATTATAGATAGATTATAACTAATTAGGAGGAACTGATGTGTTGAGGTGAGTCAAGTGATTGATAGGAAGGTCATGTGGACGAAGGTTGTAGAGGCGCCTGTGTGTGTGTGTGTGTGTGCGTGTGTGTGTGTGTGTCTGTGTGTGCGTGTGTGTGTGTGTGTGTGTGCGTGTGTGTGTGCGTGTGTGTGCGTGTGTATGTGTGTGTGTGTGTGCGTGTGCGTGCGTGCGTGCGTGCGTGTGTGTGTGCGTGCGTGTGTGCGTGCGTGCGTGCGTGTGTGTGTGTGTGTGTGTGTGTGTGCGTGCGTGCGTGTGTGCGTGCGTGTGTGTGTGTGTGTGCGTGCGCGTGCGTGCGTGCGTGCGTGTGTGTGTGTGTGTGTGTGTGTGTGTGTGTGTGTGTGTGTGTGTGTGCGTGCGTGTGCGCGCGTGCGTACGTGCGTGTGCGCGCGTGCGTGCGTGCGTGTGTGTGTGTGTGTGTGTGTGTGTAATGTTACAGCAGTGAAATGTTGATATTACCTGAACAAATCACTGAGAGAGAGAAGATAATGTTTATTCATGAATTATAAAACACTTTATATAACACAGTCTCTTGTCTTCAACTATTATCACGATGACTCAGTGTAAAAAAAAATAACATTATCGAGTATAACATTTATATAAGAATATATTATACATTTCATATACACCTGTATCTAAATTCCTCCTTGAAATATTAAATCCATAGAAAAGCCTTCTATCCCATCGGGTCATCCAGGTAATTAAAGAAGAAAGTGTTGGCAGTGATAAAAGGCAAAAACAAAACAAGCATTCAAATATAAAGAGACAATGCCAAGACATTCTAATTGGATAAGTCATTATGCAAATCAAGTATAATGGAACTCTGACATGAGCGAAGTTACCAAACGATAATAATAAAACAAAAAAAGATTCTTGAGCTGCACAAACAAGAATGTCGAGGTTGGTGGTGGGAGTGAGAGGTAGGGGGGGAGGGGTCCGTCAACCTACAGTACAGTATATAGTGGTGGATTTGGTTGTCAGGTTGTTGGTTGGTGTGTCTTGTTGGTTCGATGTTTCTTGACTGGTCGTTTTCTGGTTGGTTTGGTTAAGCTTTTTCATATGGTTGTTTATTGGTCGCGTTTGGTGGGGTCGTTGCTTGGTTAGTTGTATGTTTAAGTCGCGAGGAAGATGAAAAGAAGAAGAGAAAATGAAGAAAAAACAAGAGAAAGGAAACAGAAAGAAAAATGGATGGGAGAAAATAATAAAAGAAGAGAAGAGCCGCAATAAAAGAAGAGGCGAGGCAGGTGTAAACAGAGTGTAAGTCACCTTTCAGTTGACCGCTAGTTTGTTTATGTGTTGTGGGGTGCTGAGGAGACGACGGCCTTCACCCTCATCGCCAAGTGAACGGTGAAGCCTCATGACTCTACCTAAGACCATCATGAAACTGCAGCCCCCTCCCCCCCCTCCCTCCATCATTTACAAACACACGTCATTATATACCAAGAGAGGATCTCCACTGTAGGTCGGCAGTTTATGACCAAATCGTCATATCAATCTTGGTTTGGTTATCACACAGTATCGAGAGGCAACTGAAGCTAAATAAAGAGCTTGAACGAGGTATAAAAGTTATCTGGTCTCTTACACAAGAAGATATTTCAACAGGCAAGTCAGTTGGCGAGAACAAAAAAGGTACAGCGCTGGGTCATCACTCAGTGGGAGGCAGACACCAGGAGAAAATTAATCTCAGGACGAGGTTGCTCTGAACCCTGGTGGTCTCTAGTTAAAGATCAACAAGTTTACACACACCAGAGAATACATTTCCTCCACTAAGTTAAAAGGATGGATCTATTGTAGCCAGGACTTACGAGAGGCGCCTCCCACACCAGCACATTGAAACTGTCCGAATTAAGAGTAAAACAGAAAAATGTCCAACACCTTATGACGCTGGACACAGGTGAAGCCTTCGCGACCTGACAACATTATCCCAACAACCAACATCCCTCTTACTGTGCCAAACTAGTCTTCCAGCTCACCAAAGAAACCGCTGATGAGAAGTTAGCAACTACAGATCGACATCGCTCCTGTCGATAACTGGTGAAATATAGGAAGATGGAAAAGTTCTTTGATGTAAGCTGGCAACTAAATATCAGACAGTTTAGTTTTAGGAAAAGTTTACTCCACTATTAATATATACTGAACGTTTCTCTTGTGTGGCACCAGACATTAGATCGTGCAAAAAATTCAGTCGTGTTGTACTGTACCTTTGACCAGGTTTAACTTTAATATATACTCTCTCCACTAAGCCTTATGCCTCTTCGGTGACTGCCTTCAGGGTTATGGTATACGGGTAGTCGTAAACAGTCCAGTCAAAGAGTCAAACACTTGGAGCTGGTGCGTCTCTGGGGATGTGTAGTCGGCCCCCCTCGACAATCTTCTTCGTCTCTTACTTGAAGTCTGTACATACGAGTAAATGCAAATGACTGCACTTTAACCTTTCCCTTTACAAGAGAGGAGAAGCACTGCAACAGCATCAATCAATGCCTTGTGCTATATCAAACTGGATAGCTTATGTCTGGTTACATTTGCCGCCGAGAAAACACAGGTGAGGATAATGATGATGATGGTGGTGGTCAAGAGGATCCGAGTGCCCGAGAAAACAACAATAAAATAAATATTCTTGAGGAAAATTGGTGTTGGTGGTGACGATGAAAATTTACGTAGATACAGAATCGTTCTCGGTAAAGTAAGAAAGAGGCCAGTGGCTTTAAAATACATCTTAGCACCCATAAACTAGTAGGTAACAGATGCCAAACTGTGTGTCGAATAAGTTCTCTCGCCTCAAGAATATATTATACACGGTTCTCTCTGGGTTATATTATAGTCTGTCCTCAACTCTTTATGGACGAGGTACGAGGACTAGGCGGGGCAACTCATGCCTGGAGCCAACAGAAGAATCTATACGACACAAGAAAGACGTTTGAAGATCTCTTTGTTATATTTAAGTTCCCCCCTCCTCTTCCTCCCCTTCCCACTCCCCCACCTTCTACCCCTCCCCCACCTCCCCCTCCCCCTTGCTCTGAGAACACATCTGTGAGACCTAACCTAACCCAACCAAACTACTACCACTATAAAACAACCACAACTCCCAACATCAGACAAACAACCACAACTGCTGCCACTAGACGCTACAAAATAACAACCTTTTCTCCTCCTCATCCTCTGCCTCTTCCTCTTCTTCCTCCTCTTTCTCCTCCTGTTCCTTCTCTTCCTCTTCCTCCTCCTCCTCTTCCTCCTCTTTCTCTTTTTCTTTTAATTTTTCTTCATCATCATCATAATCATTTTGCTGAAAACCATGTCTATAGTTCCTTCAATCTCAACACACACACACACACACACACATACACACACACACACACACACACACACTCTCTCTCTCTCTCCTTCTCTCTTTCACTTTCTCTTTCTGTTTTCTCTGTCTATTTACCGAAGATAAGCTCTGTGTGTTTTTCTCCCCAGCCATCAGAGAAATATATTATTCGTTCCTTATTTATTACAAAAAAGGGGAAGGTGTAAAAAAGTCTCGCTCGATCTTGCAACTGTGGGTAGGGTG